ATATTGTGTGACTGGTCTTGGATTGTTTGGATTGTATGCTGGTGTCGAACTGGATTCTGATTCAGAACAACACGCATGACAAATGCAAAAGCAAATGCACAAACCCACAAGCACCGTTGGTACCAACCAGCTCCAGATTGGTATTCCTGAATGGTTCTGACTATTTCCCTGATCATTTAATAAATTATCCGGGCAAGATGGATTGGTAGGAACCTTCAGAGGCACATAATTAGTATCCGTGTTTCCATTTTCGTTACAATAGGCTACTTCATCTATTAGGTTTTAAATTAACATATTAATAGGTTGACTTATAGATGAATAATCTCAAATAAATTACTTTGAGGATTATCGACAGACTGATTATATTTCGTACGACAGTTATACGCGCTTAAAAATAACAATTGAAATAAGTTATTATAGCATTTAAAACGGGAGTGTATCTGGTGTATCTTTAATATTTCACGTACCATGTTAAATTATTGGTATAATCTTGAGAACATGGACACCCGGAAGTTTGATCAGAATTACCGCATATTGGAAAATAATGATTAAATGTATTAGTGAGGTCAACTAAATAATTGTAACACGCAGTCTCATCAGAAATGACATTGTTTGATAACAGTATCAAAGTAGCAACTAAAAGCATAAACGAGGAAAAAGTAGTTTTTAACATTGTCACTTTTTACCCTACAATTGACGATTCACTACGTATTTATTCATGTAAATCATATAAAAGTGCCATGGTTATTTTTATTGCTAGAATCGGTAATTTATGCTTAAAATATTATGCATGACTTAAAATGTAACAAATAATTTTATTAAAAATGTCATAAATATTTGTAAAATTCGTAATACTCGGTCAATAAATAAGTTGCACCGAATTTCATTAAGTATGCAACATACTTCATTTTACGGAGCGTAAATTAAGATTAACTGCCGAAAATTTATTTTTTTGGTTTATCAAAGTGATTAGCTAAATTTTAAAAGTTAAAGATAATATCTAAGTCCATGCCGTAATATTTTTATTTTTATTTTATTTTAAAAGTATAGATTGTTTTTTTTCTATCTAAACCAATGAAGTTTACTTAGACATAAACATCAATTGATAAAAATTTTTCGTTTCAGCATGATAAATATTTCAACATACTACTGTACTAAATATTTTCACTTCACTTAGGATATTACGCCAACAAAGGATTGGACAATATATTAGATGCAGTAAAATTCTGACATAAGCTTCACGAATTGCATCTATTTACTGTTTATGAAAACACTATTTTATTTTACTGTTCTCAAAAAATTTTTTAATAACGAACGGTAAAAAATTTATACTGTGCATAAATTTGTAATCTTGTTCTCTTGATAACTCAGAGAACATTGATTGCATCAAATGAGATCTAATTTTTATGAACGTACTAATTTATGAGTATTTATTTCTGATAAACATTTAATTTCAAATTTTTAAAATTTTAAATATATAACAAAGTTTCAATCCCAATACTAAAAAATAATAACCGTCATGAATATAAGAAATTTCTTTACTTTGACAAGAGAAAGCGCATTAGCTAATTCTTCATCGGATTCAATACGAATTTTACTATCTCTAATATTTAAAGAAGTAACGTAGTTCTCACAAAGAGTCTTTGCCAGCTAAGGTTGTGCTTTTATCAGGAATCTTTCTAATAAATTTACTGTTTATTGCGAATGCTTAAATTTTTAAGTATTACACAATAATTTCATCAACCAATCGATATTAATATCTTTAACATAGATGATTATTCGAATAATGGTTTTGAACTATTCGAATCATCATTTTAAATAATATTAATTGGCTTATCGTGTTTAGCTTCAATAATTATATCAAACTTGTAGATGATTGATTCAAATTTTATTTGTTAGTTAAATAAAGTTATACTTTTACTCTTTCGACGAAATCAATTCATCAGCTTAGGAACAAAAATTTTCAAAGTAATCAGCTAGAGACAATTGTAATCAAATTTTGCAAGAGCTTAAAAATGCATTAAGCTCAAAAAATGCTAATTTCTACTTTAACAAGTTATAGACTTCATGTCGATTAATAGATGGAGGTGAATATCTTATCTAGAACAATTAATTATCCAACCGATTGCCCTGTTCACTTTAAACTGGTTCGGAACTCTAATAGTAATATGGGATCTTT